TCTTAGTTCATTTATCACAATGTGTCCAGGGTTCGTCTGTCCTGTAGTGTGTCAGAACGCTCTGTTTGTCACATTTGTTTATTTATGTGCTAGAAGTTGAACCTCATTTAGGCTAGATAAGGGCTCTGAAGTCCACCATACCCCCACTAAAAGATTTGTTTTCTTATCAGTTATGTGTATGGTTTATTTGTAAGTGCAGGTGTCCTCTGAGTTCAGAAGGCATCAGATCCCTCTGCCTCCTTTTTATTTATTTACTTACTTTTTAATTTTGTGTGTGTGTGTGTGTGTGTGTGTGTGTGTGTGTGTGTATGTTAGGGGGGACATGCACATGGGAGGAGGTGTTTAAGGAGGCCAGAGGCATCAGATTCCTGGAGTTACAGGTGGTTGTGAATCACCTGACATAGGTGTTAGGAATCGAACTCAAGTCCTCTGGAAGAGCAGTACATGCTCTTAACCACCGAGCCATCTCTCCAGCCCCCTGCCTCTGCCTCTTAAAGTTGTACACCACCATGTCCAACTGTAGAGCTCTCCTTTTAAGGTGGAATAGCCTATTGTATGTAGAGACCTCATCTTGCTTTGGGTAGTTATTTCTAAATTGTATGAACCATTCTAGAGAGGACAACGCACAATTTAGTAGTACCTATTGCTTGTATTTCATGGGCTCTTATTATGGAAGCATTATGTTAGTTTTAGCAGAGATGGTTGTAGAGGTACACCACTTTCCTACCTAGGGGTAGTCTCAGGATGGAATTACAGGTGGTGTTCCAGAGGCATTTGGTCTGGGAGTTGTGCGTCACACAAATAGAGGGCCCTTGTAATAGCAGATTGTGTTTCCTACCCTTTCTAACCCTTTGCTCACTGTCCTGTGCAGTATCGTGAAGAACGCTTCCGCCTGACCAGTGAGAGCACCAATCAGAGGGTCCTGTGGTGGTCCATCGCTCAGACTGTCATCCTCATCCTCACTGGAATCTGGCAGATGCGGCACCTCAAGAGCTTCTTTGAAGCCAAGAAGCTAGTGTAGGGCTCTTGCCGTATAACCCTTCCCTTTTACCCCGGTTATTTGATAATTTCCCCACCTAGCCCCATCCACCTGGATTTTGAGGAGGAGAAGTGAAAAATCAATGTGTCTCACATTGGTGTCATGACAATAAGCCATTGAGATCAGCTACCTTTTGACCCTGGTTCTCCAAGAAGCAGACATTGGTCCACGCTTTCAAAATCCGCCTTAGGGTTTGGGAGAAGTTGGAATTAACCCCAGATCATTTCTTTTGCCCCTGGTGATTCTCCTGGTTTTGAAGAGATGACCAAATGCTCTTCTGTTTTCTGGTTGTGTACTTGTGCAGTAGACAGCCGGCATACCCCATGGAGGAGGCCCTGCCTCGGTGTTCCTGGGTCAGTCCTGAGTTCTTTCAATGGCTTTGTGAATGTAAATAAGGGGCAGTTCTTGGCCCTGAAGGATCGAGATGTTTTCTATATTTTAGAACTATTTTTGGATAAATTATATGTATTTTCCTTCCTAATTGAATCATCACTGCCTGTAACTAGCCAAAAGCACCAATCCAGACCTTACGCATTCTACTTATTCCCACACTTTTAGTAACTGCCATGCTGTGCTCAGAATTTCAGCAGTTTGGGGGCCAGAAAGCAGATATTGTAGTTACTTTCAAGTCCATGTTACAAGGCCAAGAAGAGTTCTCTTGAACACTTGGGAGTCCGATCTGTCAGTTCCAGAGTTGAAGAGAGGGGCAGAGTAACTTGGAGCAGCGCATTCTCCCCTCAGTTTTCCCTTAAGCAGTGATAATGGTTTGTAGGTTCTTTTTGTTTTGTTTTTGAGACAGTCTCTGTTGCTGTGGCTGGCCTGGAGCTCCCTATGTAGACTAGCCTTAGATCCACCTGTGTCTACCTACCAACTGCTGTGACTAAAGAGGCATGTGCCATCACATCTGACAGATATTTCCTTCAAGGGAACCAGATTTTGGTTCTGTATGCAGAATTTTTTCCAATGAAATAAACATAGTAGCTATGTTTGATAGACAATGATAGGTTGTGGACAGAGGTAAGCGCCCCCCCCCACCCAAAAAAAGACGGAGAGGTTACTGATGTAGACATCTTGCCTTTGTAGAAAATGTGGGGTAGACTTCAGTGGGCACTCTTGCTAAGACCTGGCCTGGGAGTGGATGAGTGGATTGCTTAACCATTCTGTAAGGTCACCCTAGTAGATAAGATGTTAGCAAGGAACTAGCAAAACAAAGCCCCTGAATCATAAACAGCTCTTAAGACATGTCCCTCACCCCTTTCTGTATAAGCCCCATGCCAGTAGTTGCCCATTCTTGATATTTTATTTCACAGTTTTATTATATATTTATTTGGAATATTTATTAAATTTCTTTCTGACTTATAGAGCTAAATTCTCCCCTTATTTCTATGTACTCTACGATATACAAACCTGTTTTACACTTAGAGTATATGCAATTTTTTTAGTTTGCAAAGAGGAAGGGAAAAAAAAGTCCTACATAACCCTCCTAGTTCTAATTCTGGATGGCCATATAACCACCAGAAAAATTCCTATGATACTTAAAAAAGTTTACAGTCTTCAGTTTAGGATCAGGATGGGAAGCCAGGCGGTGGTGCATACCTTTAATCCCAGGACTCAAGAGGCAGAGTCAGGCAGATCTCTGAATTAGAGGCCAGCCTGATCTACAGAGTGAGTTCCAGGACAGTCAGGCTACACAGAGAAACCCTGACTTGGGAGGGGAGGCTACACAGAGAAACTTTGTCTTGGGAGGGGAGTGTGGATTAGAATAAATTAGGTGTTTTGAGAGTTGTTTAGTTTTTCAGACAGTATCTATATGTAGACACCAAGGTGGCCTTAAACTCACAGAAATCCACTTGCCTCTGCAACCAGAGTGCTGGGATTAAAGGCATGTGCCACCGTGACCAGTAAGAGAAGGTCTTGATTTGTTTTTGAGGTAGCCTTGAGGTAGCACTTGTGTTAGTCTTTAAGTTAAGATCCTGTTGGCCCTGCCTTTCAAGTGTTGGGATCATAAGTGTGTGCCAACATGTCCAGAACTAAGATGCCTTTTGAATGACTTAGATGTTTAGACTCATAGTGCAAGGTCTTAAGAAGAGATACGTTTCTGCTGGGTTGTTTTCTCAAGAATTCTAGACCTGATGGAGAAAGAGGCTAGAAAAGGCCAGGCATTGGTGGGCTTGTCAACAATAAACACATAATAAGCAGCAGGGTTTCTCTTGCTAATCCCTTTCAACTCCACTTTGGAGACTTAGCAGATACAGGCTTGTGTATGAGGAGTACGGTAGGCAGGAACATGACTGCCCCAATGCCACTGGGCATGACAGAGATTACTAACCAGATGACTTTTAAAGTAAGGAGCTAGTCTAGATCAGTGGTTCTCAACCTTTTTCAAGATATTTCCATTATAATTTTTTTGTTGTTGTTTTTTTTCAAGACAGGGTTTCTCTGTAGCTTTGGAGTCTGTCCTGGAACTAGCTCTTGTAGACCAGGCTGGCCTCGAACTCACAGAGGTCTGCCTGCCTCTGCCTCCCGAGTGCTGGGATAAAGGCATGTACCACCACTGCCCGGCTTTTCCATTATAATCTGTAACAGTAGCAGAATTACAGTTATAGCAATGAAAATAATTTCATGGTTGGGGGTCACCACAACATGAGGAACTGTATTAAAGGGTCCAGCATTAGGAAGATTGAAAACCACTGGTGTAGGTTATCAGGATGAGCCCACTGTAATGACAGGTGTCAGAGACTCGCCTTTTGCAGTTAGGCTTCTAATTAATCTGTCTCTATCACCAGGAGTGCTTCCCCTATCTTAATAGATGCTCACTATACTAAGACCCTCCCTGTTGGTAAATGCCCAACAATCTCTTTTCTATTACTGCTCTAACAATAATTACCAAGTGGCTTAAAACATCAGACTGTTAGGTTTGGGAGACCAGACGAGGTGACCTGAGTGCAAGCAGTTTATTAAAGAGCCAGTCAGTGGCAAACTGGAGGAAAGGCTTTAAATTGCTCAGGGGAGAGCAGAGTTCTTTTAAGGTCTCTCGTGATGAAAGTGGTTGGGGATGGGGGAGGGGAGGTGCTCAGAAGAAATGAGCCCAAGGTCAGCTGACGTCACCTAACTAGACTTGGAGACACAGTATATTGTATTTTTGACTTTACGAAGTGTTTAAGAGGTTCCAATGAAGTCGGACGTGGTGGTGCAGCTTTAACACCAGCCAGTCTGGTCTACTTGTCAAGTTCCAGGCCAGCCACAGCTCAGTAGTGAGACCTTGTTTCAAAAAGAACTGAATAAAAAGGTCCCAAGGACATCCCCTGCGGAAGTGGTTCTGGAAGAGGGAATGGGCCTAGTTGGTATGTAGTAACACCGCCAGACTGCAGCTTTTGGTTTTCTGGAAAAGTCGGGTCCCAGGAAGGGGTCAGATTAACCTGGCACTTCTGTGAAAGATAACAAGGCATGTGGCAGGATCCGTGAGACTCTTCGTAGTAGTTGGGGTTTTTTGTTTGTTTGTTTGTTTTTCTGAGACAAGGTTTTTCTGTGTAGCCCAGGCTATCCTGGAACTCTCTGTAGACCAGACTGCCCTTGAACTCACACCTATCGCCTGCCTCTGCTTCCTAAGTGTTGGGATTAAAGGCCTTCGCCATCACTTCTGGTTTAATAGTTATCTTAATAGGTTAACACTCTGTGTCGTGATTTCAAACTGGTTACCCACAGAGCAGTAACTCCTCTACGCGCACGCATATGCCCAGGTGGCGGCCTTGCTGCCTCCTCTCAGCCTAAACGCGGTCGGATCCTAACCATAACTTGGCAGGCAAAGTCTTGTCCACGCCACTCTGTGGGTCAGCGAAGGTTGGAGCTTGGGTGGGTGGGGGCCGGGCTGCAGCGACTCGGAAGGCACGCCTCTGCGCCTGCGCACCTCACAACTGCGTGCTACAACGCCGAACGCCCCCACGGAAAACTTCCAGGAAGTGACGTCTCCTCCGGAACTGATTCGTTGTTGAGTTCTCCCGCCCTTATGCGTGCGCACTGTCTGTACGGAGACACGCCATGGAGGACCTAGAAGCGCTAGGTTTTGAACACATGGGACTGGATCCCCGGCTCCTGCAGGTATGGGGACAGTTGTGGAGCTGGGACCTGGGGTGTCGCCGCACTCCGCGCCGCCTGAGCCCTGTCCTCTCCCTTATTAGGCTGTCGCTGACTTGGGCTGGTCGCGACCTACGCTGATCCAGGAAAAGGCCATACCTCTGGCGCTGGAGGGGAAGGACCTCCTGGCCCGAGCCCGCACAGGCTCCGGGAAGACGGCAGCTTATGCTATTCCGATGCTGCAGTTGCTTCTCCACAAGAAGGCGGTGGGTAGCGAGAGGGGACAGTGGGCACGAGGAAGCCCCAAAAGACCAGGGAGGGAGGTGACCATCTTTGCAAAGGTTTCTCTTGTTTGGCGGGTCCATTTGCGGTATAAGCTCTGAGCTGGAATTCAGATTCCCTGGTTTTCAACCCAGGTCTTGCTACCACTACCACCAGCCTTGTTGTAATCTCGAGTAAACCATTGTTTATCTAGAGAAGGCACATCAGCTCCATATCGAGTATGTGTTAATTCATTTCAGACATGCAACAAGTTATTTTTAAATTTCAGTGCTCGGGAAAGCTCTTCCATTCAGTGTTCTGAGGTGGGCAGAATTAAGAGATTATCAGGACATAGCTAGGTGATTGTATTGCTCAGTCCCCACGGTTTGGGAGAGGTGGAGAAAAGCATCAGGTGGACCCAGTATTTTTAACAGTCTTTAACTCGTGCTTTTGCAGACAGGTCCTGTAATGGAACAAGCTGTGAGAGGCCTTGTCCTCGTTCCTACGAAGGAGCTGGCGCGGCAGGCCCAGTCAATGATTCAGCAGCTGGCTGCCTACTGTGCTCGGGATGTGCGAGTGGCTAATGTCTCAGCTGCTGAAGACTCCGCTTCTCAGAGGTGGGTGGAAGCTGCAGGTGTGCTAATGCGTTTGGTGAGCAACTGGAGGAGGCAGGTCCACCAAAATCAGGTTCTGGCTGCTAAATTCTTGCCGTCCATAACTTGCCACCTGCAGAGCTGTGTTGATGGAGAAGCCAGATGTGGTGGTGGGGACCCCATCCCGAATATTAAACCACTTACAGCAAGACAGCTTGAAACTCCGTGACTCCCTGGAGCTGCTGGTGATAGACGAAGCTGACCTTCTCTTTTCCTTTGGCTTTGAGGATGAACTCAAGAGTCTTCTCTGGTAAGGAGGAAATGGAAGTGGCTCCTAGTGGGAACCTCCATGAGTCTATACTTGGGGATTGGAGTGGGATGGGTGGAATGGAGCCTCAGCAGGTCCTGTTTTTCTCCCTCAGTCACTTGCCTCGGATTTACCAGGCCTTTCTCATGTCGGCCACTTTCAATGATGACGTACAAGCTCTGAAGGAGCTGGTACTACATAACCCGGTAAGTTAGGCTGCTGAGGGAGCATTTGGAGCTGGGGCTGGGGACACTCGAGGCTCCCTCTCAGAGGAAACTTTTGGTGTTTGGGGTGGGGCTATTGTTGGATGTGTCATGCCTACTTCTTAGTCCCTGAAAGGAAGTCACATAAAACCATCATGTATTTCTAGGTGTCCCCAGTCCAAACTATGCTTTCTTTGCCTAGAAGGCTTACCGTGTCCTCAAGAGGAGCCACAATTCTAAGATCAGAGTTCTCTCTTTTTTTTTTTTTTTCTTTTTTGAGATAATGTTTCTCTGTAGCTTTGGTGCCTGTCCTGGAACTGGCCCTTGTAGACCAGGCTAGCCTTGAACTCACGGAGATCGGCCTGCCTCTGCCTCCCAAGTGCTAGAATTAAAGGCCAGAGTTCTCTTGTATATATTTCAGTCTCGAGAACCATTATGCACACCTACTGTGCTGCGTATTATCTCTTAATCAATGTTTCTCTTTGTTATATCCACTGGTGCTGTGTGTATAGTTTGCGTTTCTATATATCACAACAGTTAGGGTGCTTTGAGTTCTTAAGTACAACCCTGGGGGTAGGGTATGTGGGGAGGATGGGGTGATGGCTCACTGCTCTGTGCTGATGTGGCTGCTTTGGTTGCTGAGGCAGTGGCCATAGCTCCTCTTCGCATTCTTTTCTGATCACAGGTGTGTCCTCTTCCTAGGTTACCCTCAAGTTACAGGAGTCCCAGCTGCCAGGGCCGGAGCAGCTGCAGCAGTTTCAGGTGGTCTGTGAGACAGAAGAAGACAAATTCCTGCTGCTGTATGCCCTGCTCAAGCTCTCGCTGATTCGGGGCAAAGCCTTGCTCTTCGTCAACACTCTGGAGAGGGGTTACCGGCTGCGGCTCTTCCTGGAACAGTTCAGCATTCCGTCCTGCGTGCTCAATGGAGAGCTCCCGCTGCGCTCCAGGTTTGCTGGGGTCTGCGCCCTGGTGAAGATAAGCTGAGGGAATCATGGAACGGGAGAATGCAGTTTGTTCTTTAAGAGATATGGCTTTGTGCGAGAATTGTAGACCAGGGTGGCCTTGAATTTAAAGGAGTTCTCCTGCCTCAGTTTTCCAAGTGTTGGAATTAAAACTGTGGGCCAGCTCACACAGCTTGGTCTTCTTTCCTCTCTCCTCTCCTCCCTCTTTGCAGTGCTAGGGATTGAACCCAGAGCCTTGTTGATGCCAGATAAGCACTCAGCCACTGAGCTGTATGCTTGACCCTTTGTCCGTCCTTCCGTCCGTCCTTCCTTCCTTCTTTCTTTCCTTCCTTTTTCTCTCTTTCTCTCTCTCTCTCCCTCTCCCTCTCCCTCTCTCCTTCCCTCCCCTCTGCCTCCTAAAGGCATGTATACCACGGGTTTTGTTCCTGTTTTTTAAGCACTTGCTGGGGTTCAGACTCTCAACAGGCCTGATAAGTATTTCTCACAACTCTTGAAATACTTACTGGTGCTCCATTTACAGGGAAAAAATTATTTTTATTTTTTATGTGCATTGGGTATTTTGCTTGCATATATTTTTGTGTCCTGCATGCGTGCCTCATACCTCGTCAGAAGAGGATGCTGGATCTCTTGAAATTGGAGATACAGACAGCTTATTAGCCACCATATTGGTACTGGAAATAAAGCATAGGTCCTCTGGAAGAGCAGCCAGTGCATTTAACCACTGAGCCGTCTCTCCAACCCGTTGTGAAGATGACAAAAGAGAGTAGAAAGGACAGAGTCAGAAAGGGCAGTGGTTAGGGTGATGCTAGTATTGGGGGGAGCCTCTTGTGATGCAGTCTGGCCTTTCCTCTTGGCTTGCAGGTGCCACATCATCTCACAGTTCAACCAAGGCTTCTATGATTGTGTCATAGCAACAGATGCTGAAATCCTGGGACCACCAGTCAAAGGCAAGCGGCGAGGCCGAGGAGCCAAAGGAGACAAGTAAGTCCACAGTTCTCTTTTTCAGCATTCCCCCAAGAGGACTGTTTTTCTGAATTTGTAAGACTGAAGACAAAGTGCACAGAGCAGGCTGCCAGCTGTTCTTGATGATTATACCAGGCAGTCTCGTGAATCCTTGCTCGAAGAGTTCAGGGTCACAGGGGTGGTTTGTGGGTCAGTGTTCTGCTATTACCCAGAACTGAGGTCAGGGCAAGCCCTGGAATAATTCTAATGTCCAATTGTTTGGTCTTTCAGCTTTGTTTACAAGATAGTTTAGAGACTGAACTCGAGAATCCCTTTGCCGAGGTTAGGATCTGACTGACATTGGGTTATTTCCTCAGCGCCTCTGATCCAGAGTCAGGTGTGGCCCGGGGCATAGACTTCCACCACGTGTCTGCTGTACTCAACTTTGATCTCCCTCCCACTCCAGAAGCCTATGTTCATCGAGCCGGCAGGTAGGACGATAGCAGTGTGGTGAGCCAGGCCATGCCCGAGGAGTTGGAGTGAGCTGGACAGGTCAACTCCTGGACAGGCTAGTGATGTGTGCTTGATCCCCTGCCACTGTAGGACAGCTCGAGCCAACAACCCAGGCATAGTTCTGACCTTTGTGCTGCCCACAGAACGGTCTTGCTTGGGAAAGATTGAGGCGCTTCTCGGTGGAGGTAAGAGCCCTTGCTCCGTGACTGTGGATTTCTCCCATCACACCTTGAAACCTACCCCAGTGCCTAATATGATGGTCATCAGAGAACATGGGGAGAGCACAGGATGATTGACAATTTGAGGCTAGCTTGGGATGTATAGCAAGACCCTGTTGTAGTTGTTGTTGCTGCTGCTATTTTTTGTTGGTTTTGTTTTTGTTTTGTTTTGTTTTGTTTTTCGAGACAGGATTTTCTGTAGTTTTGGAGCCTGTCCTGGAACTAGCTCTTGTGGACCAGGCTGGCCTTGAACTCACAGAGATCTGCCTGCCTCTGCCTCCTGAGTGCTAGTTAAAGGTATGTGCCATCACTGCCCAGTGTGTTGTTGCTATTTTTAAATCAAAGAATGGATCAGTGGTAAAGAGTACTTGCTCTTTTAGAGGGCCCAGGTTCAGTTTCTGGCACCCATTTGGTAGTTCATAGCTGTCTGTAACTTTTGGCATCTGCAGGCACCAGACATGTATATGGTACACGTATGTGCTGCACGGAAAACACACACATAGAAACTAAACCATTTTTTAAGGGTCCCAGATGAGAGGAAAGGGCACTTTGCAACAATACCAAATGTGGTATCACATACTATAATCCCAGCACTTGGGAACTTGAGGCAGGTGAGGTGGCAGGAAGATCCAGAGTTCTAGGTCAGCCTAGGCTACATAGCTAATTGAAGGCTTCAAGTATAGTGATGCTGAGTTGTCTCAGGGTATGGCCTCATTCGGAGAAGAGGAGCAGCAGGCTGCCAGGGAAGGCCTGACATGGCCCTGCCTTCCTCACTGCTGCCTTCTCCCCAGAGGGCGAGGCTCCCATCCTGCTTCCCTACCAGTTCCAGATGGAGGAGATCGAAAGCTTTCGCTATCGCTGCAGGGTGAGCTCAACACTGGGGTGGGTAGGGGGCTGGTTGAGGAATGGGCTGTGACCCCATCGCTGAGCTGCCTGACTCCTGGTCTGCCCACAGGATGCCATGCACTCAGTGACTAAACAGGCCATTCGAGAGGCAAGACTGAAGGAGATCAAGGAGGAACTTCTACACTCAGAGAAGCTCAAGGTGAGGGCAAGCTTGGGAGCTGTCCTTTTTGAAGGCTGGCTAAGCTCTGGTAGTGAGAAATAGAGAGCTGGACAGTGTGCTGGCCTTTGGCAGGGAGACAGGAAATCATCTCAAAGACAGCTGGTCTGCTGGGAGAATGGTGGACACACTTCATGGTGGGCACTTGGCATTAGACACAAGTGAGCGTACATAGGGTGTGTGTGTGTGCACATACTATTAGGAAGAGAAAGATGGAAGGCCTTTAGGGTCCATATGCCTTAGAATGTATGGGCCATTCCTGGATGTTACACCGACACTGGAAAAAGTGAAGAGGCTTTAGGTGTGTTGAAAAATCTCATCTGTGAGATGACACTAAGCTAGTGATTCAGAGTGCTGTTGTTTGTATCGTAGAGAAGGATGTCCTTGTACCCATGGTTGGAACTCAGAAGAACTAGCATCTATCTGTCTTGAGTTGCCAATCTCTGGTTTGTATGAAGGAACTACATTCCAGAGCTGACAGATTTCCACAAGGTCAGGTGTGGCAGCTGGCATTGCTGCAGCATGCAGTGCCTTACTTGGCCAGGAGAGGTCAGGTATGGATGCCTGTCATGGTTTGTGCTAGGCTGTGGCTGTCCAGGAGGGCGAAGAACAAAGTGATAGGCAAACTTCATGGTGTTGCTTCTTGCACCTCTTAAACTGTGGGCTCTCTCTGCCTGTCAGACATACTTTGAAGACAATCCCAGGGACCTCCAGCTGCTACGCCATGATCTACCCTTGCATCCTGCAGTGGTAAAGCCTCATCTGGGCAATGTCCCTGACTACTTGGGTGAGTGTTGCTGAAGGTCAAGAGGCTGGAGGAAATGGCCTAGCTTTTCTTGGCCATCTCCACCAGCCCCTGTGCTTGGTGTTGGGAAAGCTTCAGGCATGTAAGAGGACCTAGAGACCTAGGCAGGCAGCCTGTGTGAACATGAACAGCTGTGCCACTGTGTACTAGCTCATGTAGTCTTGTTCTTCCCAGCCCATGGTAGCTGTCTTGTCTCTTGTGGAGATGAGAAAACTGGTTGGGCAGATTGGTGGCCCATTCCCAGGGTTTGGCTGATGGGAAGAATGAGCCAGTGGCGTCCTGTGTTCTGAAGAGGCTGAGCAGGTCTGAGAGTGGGTCCTGGGCTAGAGAATGCTCAACTGGCAGGCAGCAAGCTGAGACCTCTGGTTTGTAGGTTTGGGCACAGGAGGGAAACACACACCACACAGGGAAGGAGAGCAGCCATTCACCCTTCTCATCTCAGCAAGAATCTGGGTGATAGCTTTGCTGCTTGGGTGTCTAATGTGGGGTATTTTTGGTGATGAGTATTCTATGCCTTCTGTGCTTACACTGACCATAGAGGAGAAGAGTGGGGGTAGCTAGACAGTGAGTTAGGCCCCCTACCATTCCTGATCTTGCCTACCTGGAATAGAGGTAGTTTGCTGATATGCAGCCAAGGAAATGACAGGAAGGTATAGGAGGGGCACATAGGGCAGAAAAGATGTAAGTGATGTGAAAGGGCCCAGGAGAGATGGGAGCATGCTAATACTGGGGGAAGAGCCGAAGACAGGTTCCTTAGGACGATGACTGAAGACCTCTGCCTTGATCTGACATGCTGGGTGGGTCCCTTTGACTTTTCTTTTTCTTTTTTTCTTTCTTCCTTTTTGTTCTTGTTGTTGTTGTTGTTTTGTTTTTTGTTTTTTGAGGCAGGGTTATAGCGGTCCTGGAACTCGCTTTGTAGACCGGGCTGGCCTCGAACTCACCGAGATCCATCTGCTTCTGCTTCCCGGGTGCTGGGTTTAAATGCATGCATCACCACCGCCCAGCTACAGCTTTTCTCTTTTCTTGGTACTTGTTCTTTGTAGTGAATTTAAACATTACAGCCATGATTTAGACAGTGGGAGTCCAGGGAGCTAGCTTTAATCTTTTGTCTGTGTAAATATAACAAATAATTGCGTATTGGAGACCCTTTCCTCCCCTCCCTTTTCCTTCCTTGCTTTCTGAGGCTCCCTGTATCCCTGGCTGTTCTGAAACTCCTCTGTAGACCAGGCTGAGATTCACCTGCCTCTGCCTCCCAAGTGCTAGGAATAAAGGTGTGTGCCATCACTGCCTGGCTGGAAGTGTTTCTTGGGTTAAGATTGAGACTGTGTTGCACTTTAGGGTAGCACTGAAAAGGGGATGGGACAGTGTGGAGGCCAGGTCACATGGGTCTCTGTAACTGGAGTTTAGAAACAGGGGTGAGGCTATGCCTGAGGCCCAGCATCTCTTCCAGTTCCTGCTGCTCTTCGTGGCCTTGTACAACCTCGGAAGAAACGGAGAAAGCTGCCCTCCTCTAGGAAGACTAAGGTATGTCTCCTGGGAGACTTGGGACAATAACAGGGCTCCTTCCTACCTTGCCCTTCATCTTCAGCAGCTGCCTTGTCTGAGGGAGGGATAGGACTCCCAGGAATGGGAATGTGGGCTTGTTGTCTTCCCCACAGTGGCCTGAAGGCCGTTTCTGCCCTTAGCTGACGGCTCACATTGTGTGCAGCAGCAGCTGGCAGTCTCTGGCGTGTGGCACGGGGATCTTACCAGCACTGTTCACACTCTGCTGGGATCATCTGACTGCCCACAACTAACTTGTGACTCTGCCCCTGTAGAAGGTGAAGACTCGGAACCCATTGCGTGACTTCAAGCACAGGGGAAAGAAACCTAAACCCACATCGAAGCCCTCTTGAGGTGGCCTGGGCCTGCGGACACTGAATTGGGCATCCTGACCTGGATGGAGTGAGTGGGCTTCCCACTCTTTGTGTGCACACTCTATGCTCACTGTCTGAACAGACTGAACTTTGAAGTCGCAGAATTGGGCACTCCATCTTCTTGGTACTGCTGGACTACCATCCTGCTTAACAGAATAAAGATTCCAGCTACCCCACCCAGGCTGTGAGCCTCTGGCATCTGGGAAGAGACTGCTTTCCCAAATCTCCAGAGTTAATAAACTTTCATAAAGTGGTTCTGCTGGATGCAGTGCCTTATTTGGCAAGCAGAGGTCAGCTGTGTAAGCCATGAGAAGCCTGTCCCGATTCTGCTGGCCCAGTGTTGGTTGTGTTTTGCTGACCCAGAGCCCTGTATCAAGTGCTGTGGTTCTATTGATCCAGATCGACTGATAGGTAGACTTGTGTTCCCAGGTCAGGGCGTTCCTGACCGCAAGCCCCTGGCTCTCCCCAGCACATGCAGCTGGGTGAATTCATGTGCCTGGGTAATCTGTTGTAGCTGCAACAGGTCCTACACTGTATTTTGGGGGGGGCGGGGCGGGGTTGGGTTTTTGAGACAGGGTTTCTCAGTGTAGCTTTTAGAGCTTGTCCTGGCACTAGCTCTTCTAGACCAGGCTGGCCTTGAACTCATGGAGATCCACTTAGCCAGGCCCTACACTTTTAGGGGATGAATGAGGTAGGCTGTGGAGAAAATGTTCCCTGTGTTTTCTGAGTCTAAATAGGGAGAGTGTAGAGCTCATTGTCTTAGGTCACTGTTGCTGTGATGAAACACAGTGAGCAAAGCCCCTTGGGGAGGAGGGGGTTTGTTTATCTTAAGTTCATACAACAGTTCATCATCAAAAGCATTGGGGGCAGGAGCTGATGCAGAAGCCATGGAAGAGTGCTGCTTAATGGCTTGCTCAGCCTGCTTTCTTATAGAAGCCCTAGAATGGCACAACCTACAACAGGCTGGGCTCCCACCCCCATTAATCACTAAGAAAATGCCCTACAGCCTGATTGTAAGGAGGCATTTTCTTAATTGGACGTTTCTCTCAAGTGACGTTAGCTTGTGTCAAGTTGACATAAAACTGTCCAGCACACTCATTCTACAACCAAATGGCCTTCTCGTGTGAAGAATCAGATGCTTGGGGCTGGCAGGGTTGTCTCTTAGACTCAGTTTGAGAATGAAGTCTAAAGGACAGGATGAGCTTGTGACCAGGTATACTCGAAATAGAGTGAGGAATGGGCTATCCTGGACAAGGAGGCACTTGGCCATGTGAACCTGGAAATGAAAGGGGCAGGGCTTACTGGAAGCTTGAGGCAGTTCTCTAGTCTGGGACTACCCTACAATCTGACGTTTTTATTTACACCTGGGTCACCTGGATGTGTCTTGACCATGACCTTGTTTGCAGGAACATGGCAGTCTGCATGCAGGAACATTTATGGGAACCAAGAATTGGACCCCTAACCCGGCAGTGGTGGCACACACCTAGAGGCAGGTAGATCTCTGAGTTAGAGGCTAGCCTGGTCTACAGAGTGAGTTCCAAGACAGCCAGGGCTACACAGAAAAACACTATGGGGGTGGGGAGATGTTGAACCCCTAAGCTACAGTTGACTTCACAACTTAGGACTTGTATCTGTTTTTGCCTATAGTAGGGGAAGTATTGTGCGACCCTCAAGGCTTACATTCCAGGGTGGAGGGCTGACATTTGGGTATTACCCAAATGGGAAATAATCACGGTGGCGAAGCAGGATGCTGGACGTTTGAGAAGAGCCACATTGGTTAGAGGGACTGCTGAGGGAGGAAGGGCAGGAGGAAGTTGCAGTCCTGGCAGGGGACCTCTGTTTGAATTCCCTGGGAATGAAGATACATTTGAAGATGAAAATGCCAGTGTGGTTGTCACCAAAGTATGTGACAGTGAAAACTCATCCGGTTGACCCTGGAAATCTGAAGGTCTCTCGTAAAAGGTGAAAGGAGTGCGCAATCTTATAGGACAGCACTCTGACCAGATAGTCACCCCATGTTGATAATGCAGGACAGGGTGTGTCCAGAAACCTCTGGACCTAGAGCATGGAAGGTTCGTGCGCCATACTAACTCTTTGTTTGCACCTGCCAAGGCTTAATGACTCAGCTTTTGAGGAACTCATTGAGGACTTTGTCCTTTACAGTTGATGTCCCTGGGTGGCAGTAGTGATAGGTAGAACTTGAGCAGGGAGACGCCTCAGCTCAAGTCATCCTCCTTTCCTGGGGAAATAGTGACCATGAGATGCTGGCCTTACAGAAGGGGCTGCAAGTTGCTACTTTCCCATTTATGACAGACTGCCTCTTCCACCTTCCCTCTCTCCCTTCCTCCTTCCCTCCCCCCTCTCTTTTTTGGTTTTTCAAGACAGGGTTTCTCTGTATAACAGCACTAGCTGTCCTGGAAGTTGCTTTGTGGACCAGACTGGCCTCAAACTCACAGAGATCTACCTGCCTCTGCCTCCTAAGTGCTGGGATTAAATGTGTGCCACCACGATCAGCTCATCTCATTTCTTTTCTATTTTATTTTATGTGTCTGGGTGATTTGCCTGACCCTCTTTCTCTTTTTAACAAGGAGAAAGGAAGGAGAAAGTTGGTTCACTGAAGAGGGCCAAGTAGACCTGCTGTGAGCACACACACTCATTCTTGAGATGCCTCCAGAACTGGGCAGGTCCAGTCTTTACAGCTCACCCACCTGACTGCCCACACATATCCCAACAAGCTGCAAGAATTAGCACGGAGTGCAACAAAGGTGTCTGTGACCATGACAGTTACAGAGCAAGGCGTATCAAGAGGGTCTTTTGTGACAGAACAGCATATCTGTGTGTGCCCAGCATGGCATGGTCACAGTGACCGGGCCAGACCATCACAGTCACTTACTGTCCATGTGGCCTCATAAGGAAAGACACTATCTGAATACCATGTAAATGGTGACAGTGTGTTGTCTGGAGGGCACCTCTGTAGGCTAATGCAGCACAAAGGTGAAGTATTGGTGTGACCTAGTCACCTAGCACACTTATTGTAGCCCTACTCTGTGCTGGCACCCGTTTCCTCTCCAATGTTTATACAATACTACACACACACACTCCCAGGTACACCAAATCACAAAGAGATCCTCATAAAATACAGGGGCTTGGGACCAAGATGGGCTCCGAGTTGGCCAAACATGCCGAAGATCTCAGGCTCTGTTTCCAGGTACGTCAATCGACAGTTTGTTCTGTAGACCTAGAGCAGGGCCTTGGGATTCTATGTTCTGACAGCTCTCTTCCAAGGTGAGGCCAGTTCTGTGCTGCCTAGACCGCCGTTTAAGGTTCACCACTCATCTGTCTTGCATGTGGACAAGCAGGTTCTGATTACCGACCCACTCAGTTGCTAAGTTGGCTAAGTGATGTGAAGGGAGGGGCCTGTCCGAATGTCTCTAGCCTACAAAGTTCAAATCTGTTTTGAGACTGCTCGCTCAGCCAGGGGCAGTACAGACATTCATTTACGTCAAAGTTTCAAGAAGAATAAGAAGGCTACTACATAACCATATTCCATTCAGTATTTGGAATATAATTGCATTTTCAAAACAACAACAACAAAAGGTATTTGGGGCCGGGGGTGGGGTGTAGTTCAGCGGAAGAGCAGTGTCTAGTGTGTGAGGTCCTAGGTTTAACTCTCAGTAACACAGAAAGGGAGGGGGCCTTGTTGTCCTTGAAACTCACGTTCAGCTGTGTCCTGCATTTGTGAAAGATTTGGCAGGCCCAGGGCTCTAATCCTTTCTCACCCAGCACACCTTCCTCCAGGAGGCATTCCTGAACCCAGTCTGTGCCCCTAATAACTGCCTCACTCATGAAACATCCGTTCCTAGAGGCTTGTCCCACCCTGCTGTGGGCAAAGCTCTGGAGGCAGGAGCATGGCAATTGTGTGTTCCTGGGTGTATCTACTCATTAAAAGCTTTGCCCTGAGAGTATCAACACCTCTTTTCTCTGGCCCAAGGATCTTGAAGAAAATGTCCAGTTAAATGGGAAAGGAAAAGATCTCACACGGGAAAAACTCACTCGGCAGGGTTGGACTCTGCACCCAGCACAGTAGACATGTCTCAGGATGCTGTCACGTCACCTCCATGACTCAGAGCTTAGATGGGAGGCCCCAGTTGCATGCCTCCCAGGGGCGGAGATGTGCCAGAGGCCCCATGCTCAGCAAGACTGGGTAACAGATGTGAATGCCCATACCCACTAAACACTGACCCTGTAGGCAGAGACTGTCCTTCTGAGAGGTCTTGCTGCAGGTCGCTTTCAGTCTCCTCCCAAAACACCCCAGTGCAAGTGGTTGGTTTAAGGTTAGAAAATGCAGTGCAGTGTTATAGACGATGACCACTAAAGTCAAGAGTCCTTGGACGAAGGCTGCCAACCAGCTCTCGTGCTACTTTGAGGATTAGATGCCTCACAGAGACTAAGCATGAAAGGCCAGTCTCCCTGGCCTCATCCCAGCTCAGACTGGACATAGGATTGCATGATCTCCATCTGTTCAGCAGTCTGGGTCTTCCTTCCCCTAATCTGTGGCCTGTGTTCAATACGTTCAGTGTTCTTGACCCTGCCCAGGTTGAGACTCGCTGGTATAACCTATAACAGAGGAAGAGGGCGCTGGGAGTAACTGGTTAAAACAGATGGACTGAACTGCCCACTCTCTCCTCTAAGCAGCCTGCAAGGAAGTACTAGACACCTCTCCATTCAGAACCTGCCATGAAATGAGAGAACTGACTCCCGAACGTCTTCTGAGCCATATGTACACATGTGCACTGTGCAATGATCCCATGAACACTAACACAGGAGAACACAATAATCCAAAAAAAGGAAAGAACCGGGTGATGGTGGCACACGCCTGTAAACCCAGCATTTGGGAGGCAGAGCCAGGCAGATCTCTGTGCGTTCGGGACCAGCCTGGTCTACAAGAGCTAGCTCCAGAACAGGCTCTAAAGCTACAGAGAAACCCTGTCTCGGAAAACCAAAAAAAAAAAAAAAACAAAAAAAACCCTAAATTATGTAGTCTTCCTTTTCTCATCTGTGCTTTTTTAAATATTTATTGTTTTTTTCTCAAGACAGGGTTTCTCTGTAGTTTTTGTTTGTTTGTTTTTGTTTTTTTTATATAGGGATAACAGGAAATTGAAGTGATAATTGTGACCAGCAATTTAGGCTCTCTAGGAAAAAGGGGCGTTGACTCAAGTCTGACTACAGGGCGACATGGGGAAGGGGAGAGCTAG